TTTCCAGTTCAACATTTTTTTTTGATGCAGGTGTATTCTATTATGTGCAGGGGGGAACAGAGGGACTCTTTTCTCTCAAAAATCATATTTTCCTGACATCATATAATTTCCCTCAAAAATTAATTTCGAAAAAAAATCAACATATTCACCTAGAAAAACTAAATTCTGCGATAAAAAAGTTAAAAGTTGAATACAATTGGCTTACTTTGCCAGATGTTCTTCTCATTCTTTTCATTCCTTATTTTCTTTTTAGTTCAAATTATGTAAATTCAATTTCAGTTTTATTAGATAATCTTTTCCTTTCTCACTAGCTTCTGTAGCGAGGAGTTAAAACTTTATAAATCTGAGCATCTCGCAAACTGTAAACACACAGGAAAATTCATATTTTTGGTTATATTCACCACTATTTTTTTATTTATAAATAATTAAATGTCAGGATGTAAAACGTCACAATGTTTGAACCGATCGCGCGTATATTTTTTGTTCTAAAACGGTCAGAATAATTTTTTTGGAAATCCCTAATATGAAAACTTTCATAAGGTGCAATAAAAAATGGTCTAATGGAAAAGCAACATATATGAGAATTGTGAATTAAAAGGCCCCCCCTGGAAGTTCTCTTTAATATACTTTTTTCTGAATTATATGTAAAAGATTTGCAGATAATATATATGTAAACCGCTTAAAAACTTCTTCTTTAATAGAAATGCATTTCTTTTTATCTTTAATGATAAACAAAATATATATAAATATAGCATTGGTATTTTAACATCAATTATGAACGTTTGTGTTTCAATTTTAATAAAAGAAAATTTTCAAAACACTTTTTGGAAAATTCTTTTTTTTAACTGTTTTTTTTCCATACTTCAGGCATTTATTCAGTAATTTTTTTAATATCTTCATCGTTTGATATGAATTCTATAAAAGATTAACCTCTGAATGTTTCAGATTTCTGTAAGAAGGCTGTTAATGCGAATTCTGATGTGAAATGTGTGAAAGGGAAAAACTTATCAGAGTTCCTGTGAACCAGTTTTTGCCTCGAGCAAATTGAGCCTTGATTTCAGGACATAGTGAGCTATAAAACTGTCTAGCTAGCTATTTCTGTAACTAGTGAACTATCCTAAACTAGTTAGCTATAAAACTGTCTAGCTAGCTATTTTTGTAACTAGTTAACTATCCTAAACTAGTGAGCTATTAAACTGTCTAGCTAGCTATTTCTGTGACTAGTGATCTATTCTAAACTATTGAGCTATATAACTGTGTAGCTAGCTATTTCTGTGACTAGTAAACTATCCTAAACTAGTGAGCTATAAAACTGTCTAGCTAACTATTTCTGTTATTATAGTGATCTATCTAAAACCAAGAACAAGAAGATAGTAATGTCGAACATTTAGATGTGAGAATCGAAACACTAAGCATGCTACTAAAACTAGGCGAGCAATTTTATCTGTCATGTGGCCGAATTTAAAGAATTTGAGCGGCGGTTTAAATTTAAGCCGCGGTTTAGATATGGTTGGTTCCACTTAAAATTGTATCAAATGTTTCAAGATTTAAGCCGGCGCTAAATTTAAACCGGGTTTTGGCGAGGGGAGGGGGATCATTGTGAGTATATGGAACGGGAGGGGGGATCAATGTGAGTATATGGAAGGTGAGAGGGATCAATGTGAGTAGTTAAAAGGGGAGGGGGGATCAATGTGAGTATATAGAAGGGGAGGGGGGATCAATGTGAGTATTTGGAAGGTGAGAGGGATCAATGTGAGTATATGGAAGGTGAGAGGGATCAATGTGAGTATAAGAAAGGTTAGAAAGGATCAAGGTGAGAGGGGGATAAAGTTTTGTGAAATTTTAGAACCTCTAGCTTAGTTTTTTTCAACACAAGTTCAAAATTATGAACTGCAACCCCTCCCCCCCCAACCATTTCGTTGGATATCTATAATCTTTCAACTGATAAAATTGTATTTTTTAGTACTACTTTATCTTTTCCTGGGTTTGTGCCAAAGTAGGCAGGAAGTGGTGGGGGGCGACTTCCCCTCCCAGGGGGTAATCTATCCCTTGAAGGGGAGCACCAACAATCTCTACAAGGGTGAAGTCTATTCTGATCTACATTTACAAGGTAAGAAAATCTTAACCCTATCCCGATTTGTGGAATATAGATTGGGGGGGGGAGAGGTGTTTCCCCCCCTATTATTTTGCCCTTAGAGTTGAGATACGTGTCCGTACTCCAACATTTCAAGGCCTACTCATTCAGAAAAAATTTAGACCTCTAACTTTAATCGTTAGGGTGCAAGGGAGGATTTTTTAAAAAAATCAAGAAGTACGTCGGAAAATGTTTTTTAAAAATATTTTACTTGACTAATATTAACATGTGACACATGGTATTTCATCCATTTTTCAAGGCCTTTTCAAATATGTATATAAATTTGAATTTTGTGTAGCTTAATTAATATATTTTTTTTTCGCAACTATGAAGTTGAAAAGTGAATGTAAGCCATTTTTGAGTTATTTAGAAAAAACCCGGGGGAGGTGAAACACCCCCTCCCCTCCCAATTAGTGTGTCCGATTGACAAGAGTACCCAATAAAAACCTATATCTGATCAGCAATATCTTCCATGTTGATTCTGAATCAAAACATTACTTGATATACAGTTAGAATAAGAAAACTGTGGAATTGGGAGACGACATTAAAGTAATGTTAAGTGTGCTTGGATTTGCTACAACGCAAATAATTTTACTAATAGCTTTGAAATCACAATTATTGAGTGAAATGGTCTGTGTACACTGCACAATTGCTGTGCTTTATGCTAATTGCACTTCCTGAAATAAATTGTGTCTAAAGGTCGTCTTCCTAATCCACAGTTTTCTGCGTGCTCATTTCATCGATGTGAATTGGGCATACCCCTGTTATAATGGAATGTCAATTACTTACAGTGCATTTTTTACCCCTTTTTACCGCCTTATCCCCCCTTATCCCACTTTAGCCCGCCTTATCCCCCTTATCCCCCTTATCCCCCTTATCCCCCTTATCTCATACTTTTAATCAATCTTCACTTTAATTAATCAAAATTAGGCGGAGCTGGACTCCTGAATATGTCCCGAGAAGTTTTCCCAAATATTTATCTAAACAGTAAACAACTATACTTTGCTTGTCTGGGTGTCTGTTTGATAAACGTCAAAACGGCTGAATCGATCGGGTCCAAATTTGTGTGAGACCTCACATGACCCCAGTGAAGGTTTATAAAACATCAAAATTGGAGAATAAAAATTGTTGGAAAATGGTTGGTTTTTTTTTGAAAATGCGACAATTAGAAACGAAAAATCCGCCAAAATTTGAAAATTATTTTCAGAGCAGCAGCTTTAAAAGCTAAACTTGTTTACAGGAAAAAGGGGGCGCGAAGTGTCCTAAAAGCCCAGTTTCTAAACATTATTATTATTAATTTTTCTAGAATTTAAATCGAAACTGAAAAGATAACATTTATTTAGGTTATTGACTCACTTTTTTCTTTTAAATAAAGATTTTTTAAAAAATATCTTTGTTCAGAGAATCATCAGCTTCAAGTTCAGAGATTTCTACGCGAGCCCCCGGATCAAACTGCAAAGGTAATTATTGTAAAAAGATACCAGTAATAAGGTATATAGAAATAAACGATTTTCAATCAATCATCAAGCATTGAAATAATTCTAGAATTTCAAAAATGTTTCGTAAAAACTATCATAGTTACCCATTTCTACTAAGTTATAATCATAGCTTCTAATTATCATAGTAACTTTATAATCATAGTTATTATTTTGTCATACAGTGGTAGGCGATTATATTAATACAATGAAGACGACTTTGTTAATTTGTTTTTATTGTTAGCAAGCTTTTTTCGAATTACAAGTTTACAAGTAATTAAAGAGAAGCTTTTTTAATTGACAGCTTCTCTTGAATTTTATGTTTATGTGTATTCATGCTGTTTAACAGCTCGATATAAATCAAAATTAAAATCAAAAGTCGTCTTCATTGTATTGATATAATCGCCTACCACTGTAGTTACAAATTTTCATTGGTACTTTTCATAGTACTTACTCAACAATATTCATAGTTACCCAACTTCACTAGATTATAACCATAGTTACTATTTTTCATAACTAATATAATCTACGTTATCCCTTTTCAATAACTAATGATAAAAGTGTCTGTTTTTGCCCTCACTAATAATCATATAATTACGAGTTTTTACCATGTATGTTCTAGATTTGCAGAAAAGCGCCAATAATGTCAAATAAATAAAAATACTAAATTGATAAAAATTCTCATTTTTGATATATTTGTTCTTTTTATGGTTTCATTATTTAAAATATATGATTTTGTTTGGTTTTAGAACATGTATTGTTATTTTTTTCCCAAATCTCAGAAATCTACCCTCCATTCCGTCCCCCCGCACCGCCCTCCTTCCCCATCCCGTCTCATAGTCCCACCTCTGCCCTAAAGGTCCCCTCCAGTCTTCTGGTCTCCCCATCTTTCCTCCAGGAGGTCCCTCCATCTTTCCTCCAGGATCGAGGATTTGAGAATTTTTAGTCAATCCAAAAACGCCTGATTGATTGATTGATAGATCAGAGATTCTTTTGATCCCTAAGGGGAGGCTTTAATAAAAATCCCATTGCAGAAACATCTGTTAGTTATAAAAGGGATTTTTAGTCACCTCTATTGGCATTTAAAGAAAAAATTACAATTACTTAAATCTTGTTTTAATGACAACAAAATCACGGCTATATTTATCTTTCTTATTGTTCATCAAATAAAGGTCTAATGGATAAATTGAGGATCAAAATTAGGAAATTAGGAATGCTGACGATAACAACCCTCATATATATATTAATATAGCACTTGTACGACTTTAGCTTTATAATTTATGCAAATACCCTTTAATCAGTTTAAGTGGGGATTAATGACAACCATCTTAGGAAAATTAAATTCTTCCAACTAAAGAAATTGAATTTTGTTGAATTGTCAAAAAAAATGTTGAAATAAAACATTATGAAAGATTGAACTACCAATAATATTTTTTAGAAAACGCAGGTCATGAATTTACTTATCTTACAGAAATAAAATTATAAATTTGATATAGGAAGGAATGAGATATCCATGTTTTAAAGTTTTAAAAATAGATTATTTTCAAATTGTGCTTTGTGTGTAAATGAGACTCTATGATTTGTTCAAAAAAATAACGGACGAAATTGTTAGAATTAGACAATTTGACATTCACCGTCTGTCTGACAATCTAGTTTTTGCAGTAACACCTATTTTTACAACACAGCATCTGCATACCAAAAAAGTTTTTAAAAAGGTTAAAATAGTGGATTCGAAATTTGTATGCATTTAACTGATAAAATGTACACGCAAGCTAACGCTCACTCTCCGGAAAAGCGCACAAACGTTACAAAATAACTAACAATATTTATACAAATTACAATATTTGTTATTATTTCTATTTAAACACATACATTTACCATTAATAAACCCTGGTGGCTCGACACACATGAATAATTTAAATATTCCATAAAAATGAGCCAAGGTGTGACATATTCTGATATTTTGTAATTAATGAATAAATTAATGATTAAGACCTAAAGATATATTGTTTATATAGAATATACAAGTTCCAATGTTTGTTAATAAACAAACCTATCTATCTATTTATCTATCTATATATTTATCTATCTATCTATCTATCTATCTATCTATCTATCTATCTATTTATCTATCTATCTATCTATCTATCTATCTATCTATCTATCTATTTATCTATCTATCTATCTATCTATCTATCTATCTATCTATCTATCTTTCTATTAATATACCTATCTAGATTGGTGAGCAGGTGACACTGCCCTGTCGTGTAGAGAACAAGAAAGGGAAACTACAGTGGACAAGGGATGATTTTGGTCTAGGACAAGGCAGAGACCTTACAGGCTTCGACAGGTAACTAACTAACTAACTATTTTGACAGAAAAAGAGATGGACAGATAGACAGATAGACAGATAGACAGATAGACAGATAGACAGATAGACAGATAGACATATAGACAGATAGACAGATAGTAGATTAGACAGATAGAAAGAAAAAAGATATACAGAAAGACAGATAGAAAGATTAAAAAATAGAGAAAGATAGAGAAAGATAGAAAGATAGAAAGATAGGCAGATAGACAGATAGACGGATAGACAGATAGACAGATAGAAAGATAAAAGATAAACAGAAAGACAGATAGACAGATAGAAAGATAGACAGATAGACAGATAGACAGATAGACAGATAGACAGATAGACATATAGAAAGATAGACAGATAGACAGATAGACAGCTGACTGAATAAACTGTTCTTTAACTGAGATAGACCTGGTAAAATATACCCCTACAAGTTTGTTTGAAAACTTCAAAAGAATTCAGACAAAAGAAATCTGAATTTAATTTTCTTTCTGCCTAGATTCTTACTTTCCTTCGGATTGAGTAAGTGGCAGTGGGGTGGGGGGTTAGAGGTGAAGGGAGGATGCGAAGAGGTGAAGAAAATTGCAAATTAATTCCAAAACACAAGATTAAAATTTGAAATTGTCAGTTTTATGGTGAAGTTGTCAAATTACTGAGACATTAGAAAGATTCAAATTCATTTAGAAAATAAACACTTTTAACATTTTCGCAAATAATTAAATTAAAATTGATTTGCTGCCACAACCTCAAATGTTCACACCCTCGTATCTTTGTAACCTGATGGTGTAAATTGATACTTAGATTATTTGATTCAACAGAATTATATTTTGGCATATCTAACCTCATAGACATTGGGTTGCAAATATATGTACGGATTAGAAAATCAGAGTTTGTGATAAGAAATAGATTCAGGAAATGGAAACTGGCCTCATATTTCTTGTACCGGAAACAGTTTTGTCTGGACTGGACCAGAACCGGTTTTCCCTCGTGCACCGGAAAAGGATTGTTTTACTCTAGATATGAGATGACTGGGAGTGACCAGGAGGGGGATTATACACTAAATATATTTCCTGTTCAGCTCGAGGATAATGCAGTTTTTCAATGCCAGGTCATTTCTTATTTTCAAATATTTTCCCGCCAAAATGAAAACGTTCTAGATTGCCCTTTAACCCCAAAAAAGGTTGCGTGGGCTGTCCAGTCCATTTTTAGAGCAAATTAAAACTCAAGTTTAACGATGAGGTTCTTGGGAAATCGATTAGGTTTCTTGGGTAGTCAAAGTAAAGCCAAAAAATAAAAGAAGTGGGGTCGGATAGAATTTAAAATAAAATTGAAAATAATATTTGATCAAATTATCAAAAGTAAAATCTAACCATTTAAGGGGGTGACTCTCCGGAAAATTTAAACAGTGTTTAATCATAACTTAGAATTGTAGTAGAACACTGATGTTTTGCTTGTGAACTAAAAATTTTGTATTGTATTGTATTTTATAAAAATCTGAGCAAAATTGCGCGCGCGCTTTTTGGTGGGATATGTTACTTTTTCACATTTTTGCAATCTTGACACAATAAAATGAACTTGCATTTGCTTTAAGATGCTTTCAAACATGTTATCCCTAAACAGTTTTGCGCTAAAAAACCTCATATTTATTTAAAACAGAATTTTGCAGTTACAATACACAATTTTTAGTTTTCATGCAAAAAATCAACGTTCTACTACAATTCTAAGTTATGATTAAACACTGTTTAAATTTTCCGGAGAGTAATACGCCAAACTGGTTCGATTTTACTTTTGATAATTTGAACAAATATTATTTTCAATTTTATTTTAAATTCCATAACCGACCCACTTCTTTTCTTCTTTGGCTTTACTTTTTGACTACCCCCCTTTTTTGCTGGGGGCGGGGGGTCTTCGTTATTTAACCAGCTCTTGCCTCTTTAGTTAAGTTCAAGCATAGTTTGAATGTTTAAACAAAACTAATCGATTTAAAGAATAATTCAATGAAAGTATAATTAGTTATATTTCTCCTTTTGTTCCTTTTAGAACAAAATAAATAGAAGACTGTTTTATACAGGGTTAAACTACTTTACTATTAGACAACCCTTGCTTTTCCTTTGCCTTTTTATTTTGAGTCCTCCCCCTCCCTTTTTTTTTGGTTTTACCATTACAGATTACAGAACAATGGATGGAACTTTTATATTTCTTCTTTCAATCGACAATTTTCAATACACCAATTTTCGGCTTAATAAACTTACCAATCACCCTTTCTTCCTTACAGAAGCTAAGAACTTAATTAATTACTATTAACCCATTAGACCAGAGCAATTTAATTAACATGGTGAAATTAAAACTGAATTAGTTATAGCTTAATTTCAATTGATCCTCGATTTAAAGATGGCAATACTCGATTTACAACGGTACCCTTATAAGCGTTGTATGAATTAGATATCCATAATTTAGTTTCTTTAAACTGTTTATTTTCTTTTGCGGCTTCTTTACAAAAGTGACTTGCTCATTTCTTGTTTCAAAGAAGCAATGGATAAATTATCACTTATTCTACATTTTTGATCAGATCAAGGAAACCGTTTAATTCCGGCATTGCCATCTTTGCATGGAGAGGGTCACTTCGAAAATACGATTACAGTCCCTTTAAACTTGATAAACATATTATTATTAACTGACGATAAGTGTTAACCCTTCCAACCCAAAAGGAATCCATCCGAAACGAAATATGTATCCCTTTAATAAACTAAACATGTATCTCTTTAATAAACTAAACATGTATTCCTTTAATAAACTAAACATGTATCCCTTTAATAAACTAAACATATATCCCTTTAATAAACTAAACATGTATCCCTTTAATAAACTAAACATGTATATTGAACTGACGCAAACTAGGATGCATGAGGGGGTAAACCTGAAGGGAAGGAGGAGGAAGGGGGGAGGTAAACTAAAGGAGAGGATGGAGAAGGGTAAGGGAAGGGAAGAAGTAAGGGGGGCGCTATAGTGAGATAATTACAGAGAATTATAATAAAACTTAGAAATTCAGGGGTACATAGCAATTGTCACATTTTTTAGTACAAATTGTTTGCTTTGAGGTGGCGTTAAGAATTTATTTTATAATTTTAAGATTTCTATAAAGTTTCTATTTCCCCCTGATTAATAAATATATGTTTGGAACCAAGGATTTAGGGAAAAGTAATTAAAACTTTAATAACTTCGCACAATCATCTTAAAGGGAATGATTCCAATTTACAGAATAATTGTAAAAATCATTTGTTTAATGAATTTGGTCTCACTATTCTCATAATAGTGACGGTGCTTTTAATCTATATAATAAAGCTCTTCGCTCATATATATATATATTAGTTTGTATTTATGATATGTTAGCTATAGCTGGCCAAACGGCTGGACCGAATGGGCTGAAAAGTTTTTGAGGGAACTCTTCAGTACCACGGGGGTAATATAATATAGGCTTAAATAAAATAAACCTTTTTTTCGAAAATCAATTTTTTTTCAAAATTAAAATTTTTTGTGTGTTTTTCTTAAATTCCACTGGCAACGCCGGGAACTTCAGCTAGTGATATTTAAAATCTTCTGCTAGGCTATATATTTAGCTAGACCATGTACACTTACATCTGTTTACAGGGATAACCAGAAAACTCTGAAATAGGAAGGGGGACTTTATAGCAATAGCAAAAGTGAATTTAATGTTGTTACAATAGTTTTAATTGACAACTATTAAATCACTAATTAAGTGAAATGGGTCTGTTTACACTTCACAATTGCTCTATCCCATGCTTATTGGAATATTCAAAGTCATAACTTCAGTCTAAAAGTCGTCTTCATGTTTCAGAGATTTCTGGTAATCACTGTACTAACATATGACTTAGTATAAATAGTCATAATTATAGTATAGTCATAAATATGCAAATAAAAAGTTAAAAACATACCTCTAAAAATATATCTTGAAGATATTTTTTTTTTGCAAAAAATTTAAAAAAAATAAACAATGGGGGGAGGGAAATAAAATTTCAATAAATACAAAAGAGTGAAAAATGAATATACACTTTGTTATGTAGATTGTTGAGTATGTTTTTCAGTAATTAGTATTCAGCTCTAAACCCTGGGTATTTATTCATTATTATTCGACGATATGTTTTAATATACATATTATTGCACAACTAATGGTGTTTTGACATCAATAGACTCTATGTTTATAATTTAGTTCTTTATACTTCACATATAGAAACATAGAAAATACCTAAGACTTTACTAATTATTGGCAAAGTCTTTGGAAAATACAGTTAACGGTTAAAAACGAAGTATTAATTTTTTTGTAATCGATATTTTTAACTAAAATTAGGGATGGGGATTGCTTTTAGTTTCGTCTTTGATTTTTCAAAACGAAACTAACATTCTTTTTTAGAAAAATGAATTGTTAAAACTAACGAAGTGTTAGTTTTAAGCTTTTGAAAACGGAAAACGAAAGAACAAAACTAAAGTTTTAGAGCAAAACGATATTTTTTGTTAAAATTTTAATATAAAATAATTTTCTTGTTCGAAGCGAGATTTTTAGATTAAAATTTGTATTTTCCAATGCTAAATTTGTCGATTTTATTCCAAAACAATTGCTTTCTGAACTATCGTTTTCTTTCCAAAACGATAGTTTTTCCATTTTAGAAAAAGATTATTATCCGGAACGATCGTTTTGAAAAACGATTGTTTCGTTTTTACTTCTTAAAAACTATCATACCTTAGGATCACCCCATTCAAAATCAATCTTTTCTTTTTCAGATCTTTTTTCATCGTTAACAAAACGAAAAGAGCGTTTTAAAAAAGCCAAACTTGCCTATCTGTAAAACTCAAAAACATTTTATGTGTCCTAAAATATACTATTAAAAGAGAGACTAGCTGAAATTTCCGGCGCTGCTCACGGAATTTCAAAAGCACTTTTGAAAATAAATTTGATTTTTAAAAAGTCGGATTTACCCTTTGATTTCCACGAAACATTTTTGCCAACTTAGTTCAGCCGTTTTCTCATCTATAGCTAACATATATATATATATATGAACAAAGAGCTTTGAGAACCCGGTGTTGCCTAGGTTTTTATTATAATTCATAGTTATAGTTACATACTCCCGCCGTTAACCCGCGCTTGGTATTGAATTTGAAGTGTGCCTGTGGAATTTTAAAAATTTAATACTTTTTTTAGCCTATGTCACTCCCGACCCACGGGTTCCGTAATCCGTAAAAATGACCTAATTTTCTATTCTGTTCCAAAATTCTAACAAAATGTTCGGGCTTAAAACAATAAAAACTTTTTTAAAACTTTAAGATTAAAAGGGTTAAGTTTTGAAATGAATGTTTTCATGACAGCAGCTTTGCATGACATATTAATATACATAAAGCAAAAATCCAAACTTAATACCTGAATTTTATCATAAAATTATAAATTACTAAAATAAGGGATTTATTTTTAGAACGATATTTTTGCAGAAGCACTTCCTGAGAGACCGGGGGGCCTGGAAGGAACTTTTAGCCCTTTTTTATATTTGATGTTTCTGCGCTGACATATCTAAACGTTCAAGATTTGAAACTCAAAATGAGTTATCCAGCTCTGTGCAAGAACAAATTAAGGGATGGTATCCATAGTGATGTGCATATACGATACAAAAAAGATCGTTTTGTAACGCACACGTTTTTTATCGTTTTTTTATCGTTTTCCCATTTTTTACCTTTAGGATAAAGATATTGCAAAAATAAAGCAAACTGCAGTAACATAAAAAAGTTTTAAAATCTTTAAAGTTTTTTTTTTTTTAAAGAACACTATGCATCATATATTAGAATGAAAATGATGTAATGTTTTAGGTTGGGGCAGCCCGAGGAATTGCTCCAATACGATCAAGATATGCAACACTAACAGTCACGGTTCCCCCTGGTAAATATTATTTTTAGTTTTGTATTCATAAAATCTAAATTAATCATTCTTTCTTCATGTTAATGGATAATATACTGGGTGTTCCGATAAACATGAGAATTAAGAGACGAATTCAAATTGTCTTTGACTTCAGTTAGTGATATACAGCGCGCTTGCAGTGCACTGTTACACATCACTTGAGCTTTCCAAAATGTGGTCTTCTCTTTCTTTGTACCTGAAAACATTTGGAAAGATAAGATATTTAGATAATTTTAATTCAATCTAATAAATTGGACTCCGGATCTTTAAAGTTAATAATTTGGCAAGCCACATCTAAAAAATCCCAGAACTGGCTTTTTCACATTTACTTTTTAAAAAAGATTATCGCCTGCGTTCATCAAAAATGTCATTATTGGTTAAAGACGATTTAAAATTCCATGTTTATCCGAACATCCTGTATTTTGCAATTTAACTAATTGTAACTTTATTGATCAGCAGAGGAATGTTTGTTAGAATTTATCAGTTCATTTCAGATTAAACTCTGAGTTCAATTTATCTTTAAAAGTTTTAATGTTTATAACAGAATAAAAATTGTGCTAATAATGCAAGGTTGCCAAAATGCATATGATGAATCCATTTTGATGAAAGTTTCCTGATTGTACAGTCTGCACCAAACATGACAATAAAATCACAAATTTCGTTTCTCACCTGTCATGGTACACCCTGTAGTGAAATGTAAATTTAGAGCCCCCTGTTATACTGAATGGAGAAGTACTGAAGGTAACTGAGGATAGGCTTATAACAGTTGAGTGTGTTTCAAAGGTGAGTAAACTTGGTCGCCATTTTTTATTTCATTGTTCTCACAGATTTCACTGTTCAAATTGGTGCATTTCTAAAATTATAAATGTCGAAATTTTTTTCCTGCCAAAATTTTTCAATTGCGACGACCCTTAAATAAGCAAAGTATGTCTGGACTGAACAAAAAAAATGTGGCTTCAAGCCTTCAAAATAATTCAAGTTATAAAAATGTTGGGAAAAAGCCGCTAAAAACTTGAAAATCGGCAACATTTTTTCTTGTTATAATTTCAAAATGTACAAAAAAAACTCACAGAAAGATCAGCAATGAAAAGCTAAGATTATTGACAGAAAGATGCATACTTTATATGGTTTTTATATTTCTTGATATCCATGTTTATTTTATTTCTCTTCCCATCTGTTTATTCAAGACAAGAGAATTCAACACTTTATACAGTTTCTTCCGAGATTATATATTCTTTTTTATTCAACATATATCCTTCTATCCACCTATCCTTCTATCCTTCTATCCTTCTATCCTTCTATCCTTCTATCCTTCTATCCACCTATCCTTCTATCCTTCTATCCTTCTATCCTTCTATCCTTCTATAATATACTCAATAAATGAAGGTTGACTTGACAATAAGTGGGGGAAAATTTAGTTAATTTAACTGTATTCTTCAATTAGACTAATCACTATTCAGTCAATTACGGAACATTAGACATATCAAATTTCATTGACTGTCACGGTGATTTAGCACACATAATGAGAGTACAAAAACATTAAACAAGGGTTTTTAGAAACAGTTAGAGGCCAAAATTCTTAATCAAACCCTGCATCTGTTTGAATTATTATTGTACTTCTTATGAACGTTCTAAAATGAGGCCGGGTTTTTTTGTTTCTTGAAAATTAACAAACTAGATATTATAAGCTTTTATTTAAGCTCATTTTATTTTAAAACATCGTTTTTTCACCCGAAAATTAGACATGTAAAAACCTGTGTTTTAAACCAAAAGTTTTCACAAACAAATTCACCTGCAGTTGAAATATAAAGTTTAACTTATTTTCAAACACGAAATTTGCCCCCCGGCCACCCCTCCCCAAGCCCCCCCCTGGAACAAATCCTAAACTAATTTTTATTTAAACCCAAACACCACCTCCCACCCCCCTCTCATTCCAGGAGACTGAGAATACATTTAAAATTATATTTTTGAAAAGCTGGCTTTTGCTAGCAAACGATGGAAACCTAAACGATTTTTGAAATAATTTTATTTCAATTTCTTCGTTCAGGGTTATATATATCTTCTGTCAGAGTCAACGTTTGTTAAGTTTCAGTAAACTGAGAGAAAATTTAAATGTCAAGCTAGTAACCTAGAAATTTTAAAAAATGGATGAAAACGATTTCGTTTTTTACTGTATTGAAAAACGGACTTATCTTTTTGTTTCGTTTTTTCTTCTTTTTTAAATGTCAATAAGCTAAAAAAAAGTTGAACGTGCGTTCACAAACGTTATAAAATGATGTAAGAAGATATTCATAAACTTACAGCAGATTCTTTTCAAACATTTAATTCTAAAAGATTAAAATTTATTTAAAGAAATATTTACAAAAAGGAAAGTTTTTTCAACTTTATCTTTTCTTTTTTCAAAAGACCAAAACGAACAGTTTTTAGTTTCAAAAATCAAAAGCGAATTTTTTGTTTGTTTTTATAAACAATTATCCCTCCTATTTCTAGGCTGGTAAACCGGCAGCAGAGATCACGTGGTTGGACAGTGATAATATCCCAATACACCTTGATGTGGAAACCATTGTTGGTAAATATTAACATTTTTCTTAATCATTCAAAAACTGAGTTTGTTGAAATATCGGCGGAGTGTATTAAGAAAGCATCATGGCCGGAGGGCTCCCGGAGACCCCGTCATACCGGAGACCCCTACCACCACCTTGCCGGAGACCATGGCATTTTCAACGGAGACCCAAAAGTTTTCATCGGAGACCCCAAATAAAATAGTTAAAATTTTTGAAAATTTAAAATGCTCTTGATTGTATAAAATGTAAAAAAATTTATCCTATCATAAACTTTTACATTTGTATATAGTTTTATGCATTTTGTAGACAAACAGAGCAAAGATTACAACTTTATATAAATAGAAAGATATCCCGGAACAGGAGGAGTAGGGGAGAGGGGCGGGGGTTGAATATTGAGGAGACAGGAAGAGAGGGAGGGCGTAGGGTGTAAAGTCTAATAAGGAGATGAATAATAAACACGCACGATAATTTTTAAATTTTAAAAATGTTGTAGATTTCTTTGTAAATGCACAAAATAATATCCAAATCTAAAAGTTTATGATAAAATGAATTTATATAGGTTTTTATGCCATAAAAAGCAATTTACGATTTCAAAAATGTTAATTATTTATTTGTGGTCTCCGTTGACAATGTCGGAGTCTCCGGTATGGTAGTGGCTGGGGTCTCCGGTGGGACGGGGTCTCTGGTATAGCACTCCGATGATGCTGCTTTCTTCATACACTCGAAATATCGCGATATCCTTAAAAGCTTTGTCTGATCAAGTATGAATTATGATATTAATTTAATTTTGAAAACTGATTATTCTAAATTGTATTTTCTGTACAATAGTGACTTGCGTATTTCTAGTGCAGTAAAATATTTAGGAATTATCATAATCAAACACTGTGAAGCCTTGAAAATGACAATATCTTCCCTATTATTGATCAGTAACAGTTTTACTGCTATGATTCGGGCATTGCTATTTTTAAGACCTGCACTGAGATTACACTTTCCTTATCCTGGATAAGTTAATAAAAATACCTCCTTTAAAATAAAGATGATCGTTTTCTTTTTTTAATTTTGACAAATCTAATGTACAGAGGTATTAGAAGACGGTAAAAGGCAAAATACAATCTCTTTACTACGAAGAAAGGCAAGAAGATCTGACAATAAACAACCATTTGACCGTTTAAACATAACTTTTTCAAAACAAATTGTGACTTTTAAGAACTATTTGACCGTTTAAACATAACGTTTTCAAGCAAACTGTGGCTTTTAACAACCATTTGACCGTTTAAACATAACGTTTTTAAGCAAACAGTGACTTTTAACAACCATTTTACCCTTTAAACATAACGTTTTCCTAACAAATTGTGACTTTTAACAACCATTTGACTGTTTAAACCAACGTTTTCAAAACAAATTGTGACTTTTAACAACCATTTGACCGTTTAAACATAACGTTTCCAAGCAAATTTTGACTTTTAACAACCATTTCACTGTTTAAACATAACGTTTTCAAGCAAATTGTGACTTTTAACAATCATTTGACTCTTTGGACATAACGTTTTCACTTTTCTCTGCCACATTTAAAATTCAGTGATGGTGATGGACCAAACCTCTGTAAAGCAAAAAAAGTAGTTGTTAGTTCCACATTTATTGAAAATATATTTCGGTCTGGGTTGACCCTCGTCAGTTCTTGAGACTGTTTCTGTCACAAAGATAAAAAACAAACAGTATCTCTGCCACACTTTTTTGTTGGCACATGCGTTTTAAATGAAAAGACACCTCCGTCAGATTCATTATTGTTAAATTATATACCAAAGCACTTTTGAATTAGAATGGATCTCCCCGGGTGACTTCACAAAAACGATGTCCCCTGAAAACCTTCTTTAAAGTCGTAGGAAATTATACATCCATATTCCATATTGAGCCTTTAATTCATAATTATATAATAAGTTTTCTGAACAATCTATTTTTAATATAGTAACCTTTAACAACAACAAAATACTTCCAACATGTTTTCTCTTAATATCTTATTTACTTCCAGAGTAAAACTTGAATAAATGATAAAGGTATTTCTGTAATAGATATATACAAAGCTCTTCAGTTTATAGTTATCAAAGAGTAAATGGACTGCACACGATAATTCAATTGACGTTGACCATCTTTTCGCGTGGCTTGTACAATTCACAATACAGCCTTTTAAAACTTTTCTCTGACCAATAAAAATGAGAAATCCTTATTTTTCTCCCTGAATATCGATTTAGGTTTGTTGATGATTTATTCTGCAGAAAAAAATAACGACGATATCTAAAATATGGTTTCTCAGATGGTACCGTTGGGAATAGGACATGTGACAATTTATAAAGAGGGTTATTTCAAATTTCGTTCCTGATAGGTTCCAGTTACTTATTCATTCAATATTTTAGAAATTTAACATGTGAAGCACAAAACTCAGCGGAAAGTATTCCTAGTAGAGCAACAATTCAGATTCATGTAGAATATGCTCCACATGTTACTCTACAGTATCAACCACATAAACTACAGGTATATCAACTATATACTCAGTATACTCTACATTATCAACCACATAAACTTCAGGTATTTCAACCACATAAACTTGAAATTTCAAGAGTGGAAAAAGAACTTAAAAAAATTATTAAGTTAAGGATAGAGTTAGATATTTAACATATTTTTGCAATTATGCGCTTAAATTCCAACATTTATCTTACTAGATGATACATCATCCAGATTCAGGTGTATAACCAGCTTAGCTTTACTATGGTCTGTGCAGTACGTCTAGTTGCCAAAAGATCGACGGCCGTTACTTTATATATACCGGAGTTGCTAGTAGGCCATCATGTTAAATCCCAGTATATTTTTCAGGACGGGGAAACTGTTACATTTAAATGTTCTGCTGATGCGAATCCTTCAGATGTTACTTACAAGTTAGTAATCATTCTTATATAATTTTATCATTTTACTGTATACAGTGAAACCCTTAATACTGTGGAATAGTTTAACGACTGTTAGATTTTATTTATGATTTTAAATCAAATTTTTCACTTAATAATCTGTTCAAGCTGTAGTACTACAGTGATAACCAGAAAACTCTGGAATAGAAAGTCTACTTTTAGACTCAAGATATGACTTTAAATAGTCCAATGAACAGGAGGCACAGCAATTGTGCAGAACAGACTCTTTTCACTTAATAAGTGATTTAATAACTAACTATTAAGTATTAAGGCTGATTGCTTTGTAACATCAACATCGTCGACTTACTATTCTACAGTTTTCTGGTTTTCACTGTAGTAAAACTATTTTCCATGACAACATCAAATACACATAATATTGCATAAATGTCGTCCTCATCTTCAAAGCTGTGTTTTTAAAAATATTTTTTTCATTGATACTATGAAAAGTAATCATTGATGCACCATATTTATATTTTTCAAATTCGATTTTTTAGCATTCCTATCTTATTTTTTTTTGCTTACTTTTTTACTTTTTTTATTCTTAAACTTTACTATCATCGATGATGAAGATAACTAATCATGGTAACGGTATTATTATTATTACTGTTGATGATACTATTGATGATATTATTATTTAGATGGTACCTGAATAACCAAATATTAGATGGTAAGACGAGTAAAACACTAACCCTCTCTCCTCTAAACCGAACACTGCACGCGGCAATCTTGAAGTGCGCTGCGCGCAACAAAATTGGACGTTCAGAGGAAACACATACTCTTGAGGTATCACCATTCACCAGGGTGTTTTTTTTTCTTTCGTGAAGAAAAAGATAAAAATCCACCAAAATAAGATAGAAAATCATCCAGTATTTCTACAAACCAATAAACAGCGTACTTTTTAAAAAGTGTCTTTTTTAACATTTATAGTGAAGGACAAAATTTAAAACTTTTTATGTTTAGAAGTATTTATTAGATCTATGCAAATAAACATTTTTAAAATGATCTTAGTTGTCTCCCAGATTGGTCAATTAGGCTTTCCGAATCCTTCTCAAAAGTGCCTCCATTCTAGTCAACACAGCATTTTTAAGAGAAGACCACAATGTTCTAACGTCTTTTTGTAGTATTATCCATTATTTTGAAATAGTCTTACAAATGTATAGTTTTGAAGAAGTACAGAGCTGATAACTCTGGCATTGGATATGGAGATTTCTTGATCTCGATCTTTCGTTAATCTGCAGATTATTTTAATTCAATATCCGTAGTGTAATTGCACTATGAAGGGCTAACTAAAATGAAGAGATTAAGCATTGATCCTCAAATTAAAATTGCCCATACTGGATAAAGAGATCAAACAATCTAGATTTTTAGTATGCAACACATAAGTTCCCAGCACTGGACGATTTTCTAAATTTTTTTGGTGTATTTTATTTATCATTTAACAAAATGAGATAAAACACTTTCAAAAACTTTCCGTTTTATTAACTATTGTTTTTTCTCAAATATCAACAATTTAAACATTCATATTATTAATACAATTCTAATTTTAAGGGATACCTAATCTAAAGCGTTACATGCCCGATTCACAACGACATGCTTTATCCACTTATCAGATTCACAACGACATGCTGTATCCACTAATCAGATTCACAACGACATGCTTTATTCACTTATCAGATTCACAACGACATGCTGTATCCACTTATCAGATTCACAACGACATGCTTTATTCACTTATCAGATTCACAACGACATGCTTTATTCACTTATCAGATTCACAACGACATGCTTTATCCACTTATCAGATTCACAACGACATGCTTTATCCACTTATCAGATTCACAACGACATGCTGTATCCACTTATCAGATTCAAAACGACATGCTGTATCCACTTATCAGATTCACAACGACATGCTTTATCCACTTCTCAGATTCACAACGACATGCTTTATTCACCTATCAGATTCACAACGACATGCTTTATCCACTTATCAGATTCACAACGGCATGCTGTATCCACTTATCAGATTCAAAACGACATGCTGTATCCACTTATCAGATTCACAACGACATGCTTTATCCACTTCTCAGATTCACAACCACATGCTTTATCCACTTATCAGATTCAAGACGACATGCTTTATTCAATTATCAGATTCACAACGACATGCTTTATCCACTTATCGGATTCACAACGACATGCTTTATCCACTTATCAGATTCAAGACGACATCACTTATCAGATTGACAACGACATGCTGTATCCACTTATCAGATTCACAACGACATGCTTTATCTCTTTATCAGATTAACAGCGAGAAGACTTTGTCATTTTTTTTATCTTTTACTAAGTTTGCTCAGATACATTCGTCGTCGTATATATATAGCAATACATAAAGACGACTTTCAATTTTAATTTTGATTTCTAACAAGCTTTTAACAGCTTGAATACACATAAACATGTAAACAAAATAAAGATATAAAACTATCTCTTTGTTTATTTGTAAACTTGTAATTCAAAAAAAGTTTATTAACAATCAAAACTTCAATAAAAAAGTCTTCTTCACATTATTGATGTAAACGCCGACACTGGAGAGAAACTTCAATAATATCAGTTTTTAGATCAAGAGACAGAATTGTAAAAAAATTGAATTATTTTTAATTTTATTAATCTGGGATACAAACAACTCTTTAAATAAACGGATCATTTGAAAAATTTGTAAAAAGTCCCTTTTTACATGAAATAAAAAATAGGCAATAATAAGTACACTCTGGCTTTTATTAGAAATATTATGTTTTTTTTGGGGTCGGAATTTTAAAGTTCTGTTTTGTCATCATTTAAAGTATTTATTGTTTGTCTCATGGAATAAGATGGAAAGTATGATTTATTAAAGTTTTTTATCCAGACTTTGGTGGATACAGGGTGTCCATTAAATTTAGAGAATGCAAGAAGATTTACTTTGATTTTGAATTTCTATTAAATGTCACTGAGTATATGAAAGAACAGCTTTCAAATGAATGGGGTTTAACTTCGTTGGACCTTACATGTAATTGACAAAGATATTTAAAGTATTTAAATACTACCTATCATAACTCACAACACTCTCATAGTTGCATGATCGGTGCCAATACACACCCAATGAAATTTCATTTGGTGTACAGTCGCATTTTGCCTCAAGTCTGTATTTGTACTGTACTGCTTGCCCAGGCTAGTTAAAATTCAGCCCGGTACATGAAATGAACTGGAATGTACCGTGAACCTCCTGTACATGCATTTAGTTGTACTGTTCATGGTCTACCCCTGCAGAGTCGACCCAGCACGTTTTATGCAGCAACTGCAGCCGCCAGCCTGGCTAGATCACAGTGATAGTTGAATTGCCACGAACTCAAATCTTCTAATCCCTGTAGCTTAGTAAAATGAGATGTAAAACTTTGATATTTCAATTTAATCAATTTAATTAATTAATCTAACAAAACCTCATTTCTTTAATAAATCGAAATCTGAAAAAACTTCTCTAATATCTTTTTCATAATTTAAGGTTAAAATGGTAGACCAAAATTATTGAACCAAATTTTAGAACCAAATTTTAGAACCAAATTTTAGAAATACTACATAAAGTTTTTTTTTGGTGATTGTTCAGAGTTGTTTTCTTGTTTAAGGAAAAAATCACAAATAATATAAAAGAATCTCCTAATTCTCATGTTTTTAGGGATACCCTATAGATCTATATAATAAAACAAGACATTCGTATATACATTTGTTGCCTATAGCCGGCCAAACGGCTGGACGAATCGGGCTAACATTTTTGTGGACACTCATGGGAGGCCGGGGGGTCTTATAGGCTAAAAAAATAAAATTTAGTTTTTTCAAATCATTTTTTTATTTTTTTTATTAAAAAAAAAATTTCCACGGGCAACGCCAGGCCCTTCAGCTAGTTATATCTAAAATTCATGCAGTTTCAAATGCATTTTAAATACATTGTAAAGAATAGAATTATTCGTTTATCTTTTGGTTTTAAGATTACACTTTCTGTATGCACAAATGGTGAGTTATTTAAAAAAATTTTGCACCCTTAAAAGATTTTTATATGATAAGGAAAGGTATGTGTGAAATATTTAATCATACATTATGTACCGATTTTGAAATATTTGTGTAGAAATTATACACCTTTAAATATGGTATAAATAGATAATGTCCGGACTTAGAAAAACGTAATATATATGTACAAATTATGTACGGACTTTAAAATATTTAAGTACAAAAATTGTGTACATGGAGCTTAAAATATATCTACATGTACCGACAATAGAACGGACATTAAAATATCTATGTACATATTATGCAAGGAGTGGACATTGATAAGTGGACATTATGCACAGATCTAGAAATATCAATTTATGTACAGATTATGTACGGATCTTGAAATATTTCTCTAAAGTTTGCGTACGCATCTTGAAATATTCATGTACAGGCTGTGTACGGACTTTGAAATATTTATGAACGGATTATGTTCGGGTATTGATATATTTATGTACAGATCATGTACGGATCTTTAAATATTTATGTACAGATTATGTACACACCTTGAAATATTTATGTACAGGTTATGTACGGACCTAGCTGGGTGGTTGAGCCAACGGACCAGGCTGGTCAGGAGAGAGAACAGGTTCAGCTAATCTGTTTAGCGGACTCTAATCCTAATCCCAGGTAATATTTAATCCGACAACGCTTTCAAGGTTACCGATTGTATAACGGACATTGTCATCTTTGCATGGGGAGGATCACTTGAAATTTCGTCTACAGTCCCTTTAATTAGAAAAATATTGTACGGGTTAATCATTGCTTCCTAGTTGTAACTTGTAAACAGCAAAAATGACCCTATAGCAAATTTGACGCTGGCATAAATGGATCTGCGCCAAAATAACGACTTCTGTAGTGAAATGTCTGATTAAAAGTAATAAGAATAATAGTGGTTAGAAACTAAAGGTTTAGAGTTTTAAACAGAAAATGAAATTAATCCTTCTGTTAAATAAAGTTTCCCAGCTAATTTCCAGACCTGAGACCATTAATGGAAAAGGAATTAAATCTTCCGACAATACTTTGTTGTAACCTGATGGTGTAAATCTTTGATATTTCAAAATTAGACCATTTGATCTAGCATATTTCATATTTTGAAATTGCTAAGATTGTGTTGCAAAGATATAGGGATTAGAAAACAGAATTTCCCAAAGCAGTGGTTTCATCTATACAATTTGTTTTGCTCTGTGAGCAATAGTTGTAACTGCTACGGAGTGCACTGCAAACCAAGATATGTAGTGTCAACGCTCTCACAAAAAAAAACAGCAGTGGTAGAAACAAGCACATTGCATACTAAAATATTCATGCCTAGGGCTAAAAAAGGTAGAAGTGCGTTGGTGAGGTAAAACCATGCAAAGGCCAATGCGTTGCAACACTCTCAAAATTTGATACTCTCTAAACATATGCTTATTCAGTTTCAGAGTTGTCTAATGTCAGTGGGTGGTTTAACCAAAATAAAGACAACTTTAAGAACAGAAAAATGCACCCCCAACCCCCCCCACTAACCCATTTTTCCCGAAGATGTAAGGAAGAAATAAGATGAGCACAGGAATAGAGTCTCTGTCACAAACTCTGATTTTCTAATCCCTATGTTTGTGCAACCCGTCCTAGACCTTAGATATAACTTTAAATTCTGTTAAATATATCATGTAATCTGAGTTTGAAATATATCAAAGGTCTACACCATCTGCAGGTTGCAAAGATTTAGGTATTATAAAATCTAAGTTTGTTGCAGAAACTGAGTTCCTTTATTACAAGGTATAACTGGTACTGATTTGTGACTTGCCTCTCCTCTCGAGTTCTAATTATCAACAAAAACTTTAACTATTATTTCAATTTTCTTAAAGGGACTGTAAAGGAAAAATGAAAGGGGGTATAGGCTGAAAGCTAATCACTTTAGCTCTCGATCGCGACCCATGAAAGTTATATCTGATGTTATATATCTCGAGAAATTGATATACAACTGTGTTAAAATTATACGAAAATTAATGTAAATACAATTTTGTATAAAAATAGAGGGTTTAAATAGATCAAATTCAGCAACTATGCAACCAATCTAAAAACTTTAATATCCCAGAGAAAGCTAATTGTAACTTAGGTTTACTCCAATTCTAGTTTTATATTTGTTATTTCTATTTTTAATAGTTTTAATTCATAATATTATTTATACTTCCGTGTTACTTGACCAGAAGTTCCACCAATGGCAGTGCAGTAAAGTGGTCATGTGATACAGGCGGAGACATGTGACCAGGAAACTGCTCTGCCATTGGTGATAGTTCTGGTCACGTGATGGAAGTTAAAGATTTTCTAAATTTTACATATATGAATTTTCGTATAATTTTAACCCGGTTTTATATCAATTTCTCGAGACAGGAACATCAGATAAAACTTTCATGGGTCGCGATCAAGAGCTAAAGTGATTAGCTTTCAGCTTATACCCCTTTCATTTTTCCTTTACAGTCCCTTTAAGTTTAATATATCCCCTCCCCCCCCCTTGCTATTTGTATACCTTTTAACTCTCTTTTTCTTCCATTTGTTCTTTTCCTCTCCACCCAATTTCGGCAGTTGTATAAAATGAACGCCAAGCTTTATCTTTTAGAAAACACAGATTTCCATTGTGTTCACCTCCCAGCAAACAATAGAAGACGGAATTACATTCTCTACAATTGCGGTTCTCAACTCATCCTTTTTATACAATATTTGACAAATAATTCGATTATTTTGACTAATACAAAGATACAATATAAGTTCTATCGCTAAGATATATTTTCATAAAAATAATATAGCGGAATATCTTAGCAATTTATTAAAAATTTGAAAGTCGTCTTTGATCGTTTACAAAGTTTACGGCATTCTTTTGGCAATATAACTTTAGCAATACTTTTCATGAAACAAAAATCATTATGATATTCTATTAAATAAAATCTATTCTGTTCGTATATTAGAATTCCCATTAGTTTCGATGACAGCTAGAGCAATCTGGATTTCTATCAAAGTTAGTAAGAGTCTATCATCATGTTTATTCAAAGTTATCTAAGGTTATATCATTTTGATATTCATATAAAATGAAATTCTCTGTAAACTAGTTCTTGAACGGCTGAACAGCGAATACAACAATCACGTGACTTTAACAGCAAAATATTTTATATTTTCAATCCTCTTATTGAAGAACAATTAAGTTGCAGAAAACAAAAACATAAATGTTTTTAATTTTTATATATGTAACAGGACACAGACATTGATTTTGTGCCACAAACTCTGATTTTCTAATCCTTATATCTTTCCACCCTGATTTCGTAGACCTTTGATAGTTCACACTTCAGTTTCTGGTTGATCAAGTAGTGTAAGTTTGAAATACAAAACTGTCTACACAATCAGGTTATAAAGATTAAAAGATTGTAAAATTAGAGCTTGTGGCAAAAAATAGATTTCTTTGATTTGATATCCTTGTGAGTAAAATCAAAACAAGGTACAAGGTCACAAATTTGTTACCGTAACGTTTGGTGCAATATAGTGTGTTGTAACCTGTAATTATTTTAAGGTCATGTCAAAGAGTTTAAAGGCAAACTTATTAAAGGTTTGTCGAGAGTTTCTGCACCGTTTTCTGTTTCTTTTAAATCTAAAATCTTTATAATTTATCGGGTTTTCCTTTTTGCATCTGGTGCAATCTTGGAGCATATGTGAATCTGAAGCTTTGTCTTTAATTAAACCTAACATGCAATTTTAAATCAAAGATATCAATTATACCGTTAACCGTTAATTTCTTTCTAATCAAAATAGAATATTTGTGAACACTCTGTCTGTCCACTTGATATCTTAAGACAAATTTAATTTCAATTTGGACCTCTCAAGAATACATGGTGTTTGTTTCCAGGGTTGCTTTTTTTTAAGGAGTAGTTGTAAAAATCTTAAGGTCATTCCTTATCAACATATAAACGTCGACCAGATGACATCTCCGACTGTGTGCGTCCTAAGATCTATCAGATAAAAATCTTTCGTGAGACATCTAGCGGCCAAAATTTAGTCCCTCAAAGTATGTCATCCAAGGAACGGCCTTTCATAGTTGTTCCTTTAAATCTCTCAAAGGAAATAAAAAATTTCAAACTTGAAAGGTAGATAAAAGTGACATTTGGAATGATATATATGCCTTTCAATTGTGGGCTTCTTATCCTCGGGCTAGAATAATTTTAAAAGTGCAAAATCAAATATTGATAAAATGACATTAATGCATTAGGAAAAAGGAATTTGCAAAAGGAGAGATAAAGGACCATTGAAAAAAAGAAGATAAGATTTAAAATTATAATGATAAGCTAGATTCAAAGATACATCAGGAACCCCATATCTTTTTTAAACATGTGTTCTGCTGTAGGGTTTCCATCGCAATTGCAAGCCTATTAATTTGGTACAATTCCGTGCAATTCCCCGCCATTCTGAGCAATTCCGAGCAATTCAGCGCAATTAATTCCGCGAATTGGATTTCCTATTCGAAACCCTAAATTTAGGGATGAATTTAAAACAAATTTAGAGCTGCTAAGTACTGCAAAATACTGTTTATATTACTCCCAGAAGATGCAGTACACTCAATTTGTCAATAAATTCTGGTGTTTATTTGCCCCAAATGGCTTAGATTGCTTGATTAGTAGTACAATTCTAATTTGTTGTACATATTTTAGATATTCCTGGTTTAAAGATGGAGATTTTGATAATATTATAAGCAGTTCCAGTAATCTAACTGTTTATCTCAACCTTCAGGCTCAGGTACAGACCTCTTTTAAACAATTTTCAAAATCCCCCAATGTAAACAGAGAAATCTACGAAATCTTGTTTTGTATACGATCGGAAAAAAGGAAGTTTCTTCTTTTCCTTTATCTATGCTACGTTTAGTACATTCGGAATAGCCTCAAAGAAAAGATTTAGAAGCGACTGTACACACATTTATAAAACCTCATATTATATAATTTTGGTTCCTGGCAACTATAATCATATTTCTTCCTTTTACAAATCATTTGATTACTTACCATTAAAAGATAGAAAACTTGATTCAAACTTTAGAAAGTCAGTTTTATAGCGTTTAAGATCATTGTTAACGAATAGATTGATTTTGGCCTTGAATGAACTACTAAGTGACTTTGCCAAAACGGCCTACTACAGCAGCAGTGAACCAATACTACAATAAATGTTGCCGTGGGGGTATCAAACAACTGTCTTGTATATTTATATAAAGGAAGACATCTTTTTCTATGTTCCAAGAAAGTATAAGATAAGCTAAATATGATAATAATAATAATAATAATATCGTTTTTCATATTTATATTCGAATCTAGATATTTACAAAATACACATTTTTCTAATGCGGTACATTACATATATAATACATATACAGTTGGCTGGGGGAGGGGATATTTTAGACGCTAAATTTAAATTCAAATTCCCATAAATTAATGAAAATTTAGTAAATGTTCTGATTAAAGGGTAGGTACACCTGCCGGGTCTCTGTTAAAGGATTTAGTGGCTTGGAGCGGTCAGCCCAAGTACTTATTAAAGGTAAATATTTAAGAAATTTTCTTTCACCAAATTTTTCTTCTAAAAGTGATTAAAAAAAAGATAAAATGCAGGATAAAAAACATTTATAAGTAAATGTATGTAAATATTTTTACTATTTAGGAAATTAGTAATATTTAAAATTTTAACTAAAACAGAGGAAAAAACTAAGTTTAAGACAATGACGTAATTTTCTATCGGGATATCTAAATTCTGAAATCTGAATTATTTAACCCTATTCCTGCTGGGGGGGGGGCAATNAAACATGCAGGTATTCCTATTGGTATTCCTACTCCTAGAAATATACTCTGGATACATGCAGGTATTCCTACTTGTATTCTAACTCCTAGGAATATACTCTGGATACATTCAGGTATTCCTACTGGTATTCCTACTCCTAGGAATATTCTCTGGATACATAAACATGCAGGTATTCCTACTGGTATTTATACTCCTAGAAATTTACTCTGGATACATACAGGAATTCCTACTTGTATTCTAACTCCTAGGAATATACTCTGGATACATATACATGCAGGTATTCCTACTGGTATTCCTACTCCTAAGAATGTACTCTAGATACATACACATGCAGGTATTCCTACTCCTAGAAATATACTTTGGATACACGCAGGTGTTCCTACTGGTATTCCTACTCCTAGGAATATATTCTGGATACATGCAGGTATTCCTACTGGTATTCCAACTCCTAGGAATATACTCTCGATACATGCAGGTATTCCTACTGGTATTCCTACTCCTAGGAATATTCTCTGGATACATATACATGCAGGTATTCCTACTGGTATTGCTACTCCTAGGAATATTCTCTGGATACATGCAGGTATACCTACTGGTATTCCTACTCCTAAGAATATACTCTGGATACATATACATGCAAGTATTCCTACTCCTAGAAATATACTTTGGATACACGCAGGTAATCCTACTGGTATTCCTACTCCTAGGAATATATTCTGGATACATTGCAGGTATTCCTATTGGTATCCCTACTTCTAGTAATATACTCTGAATACGTGCAGGTATTCCTAGTGGTATACCTACTGGTATTCCAACTCCTAGAAATATACTCTGTAATCTGGATGCATGCAGGTATTCCTACTGGTATTCCAACTCCTAGGAATATACTTTGGATACACGCAGGTATTCCTACTGTTATTCCTACTCCTAGGAATATAGGGATATACTCTGGATACATGCAGGTATTCCTACTGGTATCCCTACTCCTAAGAATATACTCTGGATACATATACATGCAAGTATTCCAACTCCTAGGAATATACTCGGTATTCATGCGGGTATTCCTACTGGTATTCCTTCTCTGCAGGTAAACCTACTGGTATTCCTTCTCTACAGGTAAACCTACTTGTACTCCTTCTCTGCAGGTAAACCTACTGGTATTCCTTCTCTGCAGGTATACCTACTGGTATTCCTTCTCTACAGGTAAACCTACTGGTAATCCTTCTCTGTAGGTAAACCTACTGGTATTTCTTCTCTGCAGGTAAACCTACTGGTATTCTTTCTCTGCAGGTAAACCTACTAGTATTCCTTCTCTGCAGGTAAACCTTCTGGTATTCCTTCTCTGTAGGTAAACCTACTGGTATTCCTTCTCTGTAGGTAAACCTACTGGTATTCCTTCTCTGTAGGCAAACCTACTGGTATTCCTACTCTACAGGTAAACCTATTGGTATTCCTTCTCTGCAGGTAAACCTTCTGGTATTCCTTCTCTGTAGGTAAACCTACTGGTATTCCTTCTCTGTAGGTAAACCTACTGGTATTCCTTCTCTGTAGGCAAACCTACTGGTATTCCTACTTGAGAAACCAGACAGTTCTATTTATTGTGTTTAGGAGAATTTCTTGGTAACAGGGATGGATATAGTGTTCACGTTCATACTAGAGATGGGGGTATTTATAGCTCTCTTATTCTCCAGGTACTTCAGGGCGTTTTGATGATGAATGTCGTCTTCGATTACCGATAGTAAATAAATGATAAAGAGCGTATCAAAATAAATACTGAAAGTCTCATGAGCTTTTGAAAATGTAGACATGCAGCCTTCTTTATATCTTCAAAATTGGCAGAGATATCAAACAATTGAAAGATCGTTGTTATGAAAAAAATTAGAACCTGGACAGATTTCTTAATATCTATGTCAATTTTGATGATGCAATTATTGTAAATCCTATTTTGAAATTCTCAAGACTATCAGTTTTAATTATTAACTGTGTTAACTGGAATACTACAAAAAGTGTCTCTATTTAATAAAGCTTTGCGGACCAAAGACGATTTATAGAAATCATCACTTAATTACCATGTTTTCTGCATAGTGCACACACCCTGTAAATAACAATATTTCAGGGATGTATATTTTCCATTCTTCTTCCCTTGGAATTTTTCATTTCATTTCATGTCAAGCTTTCCATTTTTGACTAGTAATAAGAAAAACTAAATTCAAAGATGTGGGAATAGGCAAAATTAATAATTATTAATAGGATAACAAATTCAGACCAGTTTTTGCCATTTTCTTACCAAAATGTGATTAACCTTTTTATGTTTGTTTCTAGCGTGTTGAAAAGTTCGACCTAGGAGAGTATAATTGCTCTGCAAGCAACAATTTTGGAACTCATCACCAAACTATTATTCTCCAGCTTAAGGAAGGTAAACAGAAACATTTTAAACTATTGTAAGACAACCTCTTTATTTAATCTAATATCATGTGGTCTTCAAAGTGAATGCATTAAAAAAGTCTAATCTTTAATTTATTTCAGAGAAGTCCCTAGCTGTGCCCCTAGGTGTGGGAGTAGGAGGTGGAATTCTACTTACACTCCTTCTTCTCCTTCTTGTTCTACATTGCAGGAGAACCAGTGAGAAACCTATCCCACGTGCACCTTCTCCAGGTATTATACCACATACACCTTCTCCAGGTATTATCCCACATATACCTTCTCCAGGCATTATCCCACATACACCTTCTCCAGGTATTATCCCACATACATTTTCTCCAGGTATTATTCCACAATCCTACATACACCTTCTCCAGGTATTATCCCACAATCCTACATACACCTTCTCCAGGTATTATCCCACAATCCTACATACACCTTCTCCAGGTATTATTCCATATCCACCTTCTCCAGGTATTATCCCACATACATTTTCTCCAAGTATTATTCCACAATCCTACATACACCTTCTCCAGATATTATCCCACAATCCTACATACACCTTCTCCAGGTATTATTCCATATCCACCTTCTCCAGGTATTATCCCACATACATTTTCTCCAAGTATTGTTCCACAATCCTACATACACCTTCTCCAGGTATTATCCCACAATCCTACATACACCTGTTCCAGGTATTATCCCACATACATTTTCTCCAAGTATTATTCCACAATCCTTCATACACCTTCTCCAGGTATTATCCCACATACAATTTCTCCAGGTATTATTCCACAATCCTACATACACCTTCTCCAGGTATTATCCCACAATCCTACATACACCTTCTCCAGGTATTATCCCACATACATTTTCTCCAGGTATTATTCCACAATCCTACATACACCTTCTCCAGGTATTATCTCACAATCCTACATACACCTTCTCCAGGTATTATTCCATATCCACCTTCTCCAATTATTATTCCATATCCACCTTCTCCAGGTATTATTCCCTTGGTAAATTCTAACTAAAGAAATAGTGTTAGATTTAACACTTTGATAAATGCTAGCATTAGTTTTAGCAACAGCATTTGCTTCATCACTAAAGTAAATGCTAGCAAGAGTGTTAACTTAAACAGTGATTACTATTGATAGTGTCATCAATAGCATTGACTTATTAATCTCTATGTTAAGTTTTAGCGCCATGCACTGTTTTAGTTAGTATTGTTTATGGTGCTACTAATATTAATATAAAAATTCATATTTATGAATATTACTTTAGATCAAGACGAATGGGAAACTGAGACTTTAACCAAAGATAAGCACTTATTTCAAGTTCAGGTATAGAATTGTCAAGATTTTTTCTTTAGCACAACAAAATCACATATTAAGAAAACAAAGAGAGGTATTGTGCATGTATACATTTTTCCGTCTGGTTCTCAATACATTTTTCTCAAGAAGCAATGTGAAATTGTAGATTCCTGGTGATTGCTCTAATGCCCAGGAATTAATTGGAAAAATTTATCAGAAATGCCTTTATAATTTATCTGTAATTTTTAACCGTCTTCCTCCAACAAATTTTGGAGCAGGAGGAATTGAGAACTTCTTAAATATTATTCAGAAGAATTCATCGAAGACAGTTTGATCTTTTTGAGGATATTCTGGCCCTCTTTTTCATGATAAATAATAATCATTTTGATATGCAAAGATGAAAATTAACATTTTACGAGAACAATTCAAAAATAATCGATTTAAAGATTATATTCAATGCAGAAATTTTCTTTCCTCCTATCCATTATCTATTTTCTTTTATTTAATCTCTTTCCATTTATCCCTTTTATTTGATATCTTTCCATTTATCCCTTTTATTTAATCTCCTTCCATTTATCCCTTTTATTTAATCTCTTTCTATTTATCCCTTTTATTTAAACTCTTTCCATCATCCCTTTTATTTAACCTCTTTTCATTTATCCCTTTTATTTGATCTCTTTCCATTTATCCCTTTTATTTGATATCTTTCCATTTATCCCTTTTACTTAATCTCCTTCCGTTTATCCCTTTTATTTAATCTCTTTCCATTTATCCCTTTTATTTAATATCTTTCCATTTATCCCTTTTATTTAATATCTTTCCATTTATCCCTTTTTATTTAATATCTTTCCATTATTCCCTTTTATTTAATATCTTTCCATTTATCCCTTTGATTTAATCTCTTTCCATTTATCCCATTTATTTAATATCTTTCCATGTATCCCTTTTTATTTAATATCTTTCCATTATTCCCTTTTATTTGATATCTTTCCATTTATCCCTTTTATTTAATCTCTTTCCATTTATCCCTTTTATTTAATCTTTTTCAATTTATCCCTTTTATT